AGGGAGGGGGTGCTTGCCCAACCCCCACCCAGCTGTGTTTGGGGCCACTCCCAGGGGCTCACTCCCCCAAGGCCAGAGGACAAGAGCAGGGGGCCTAGCGGTGGCAGTCAGCAGCCTTTTGGTGAGCCAGGAGGACGTGGAGGGTCTGTGATGTCCTGTCTGCAGCCACAGCCCCAGACACTTCCCCACCCTTCCCTTTCTGCCTCCAGGGCAAACCTTCGCTCCCTTCTTCTCTCCGCCAGGCTGAGCAGGGCCTGCCCCTGGGAGACCTCAGCCAGCCCACCCCCGACCCTCCCACCGGCTACCCTTTGAGCCATGGGGCGTGGCTCACTGCCCACGTCCCTCCTCCCAGGTGGGTCCGACCTGTGAGTCCTTTCAAACCCTGGATGTTGCTGACACACTTAACGTGGACCCCAGACCGCGGCAGTGGCTCCGGGCTTGTGGGTGTACATGTGTGAGTGAATGTGTGCCTGTATACATGGGCACGGGGGAGTGTGCATGCCTGTATATACATGGGCGTGTGTGTGTCCCTGTGTAGCATATAGACGTCTGTGTGTGGGTGTGTGACTTGTGAGGTGCCTATCTATGTGTGCACATCTATGAGTGTGCATGTCTGTGTCGGTGTGTGTCTAGATATGTCTGTGGGGATCGGGGAGAAAAGGAGAAAGTGTGTATATGTGTGCATAAGCACTCGTGTGTGTGCACGTGTGTGTGTGCGTGCCTAGCCCTCTGGGTGTGTGGGACCAGGGATGATGGGACAGATGCAGATGAGGAAGGAGCTGGGGACCCTGGACCCCCTCCTTGAGCCCACACCCCCTAGGCTGGCTGTTAGGGACACAGGCTAAGGGGACAGAGAGACCTACCCTTGGAAGGCGGTTGCAACCCCTTTCTCGAAGAGGCAGAGGGAGGTGGAGGCAAGGCACACTCTCCCCGCTGGGCTGGGCAGGGCCAGGGCCCCTCCCTTCCAGGGCAGACCCCTTCCAGAATGTCCACCCCCAGGGTGACTGAGACCACTGGTGAACGGCGGTCAGTGCTGGGCCTGACCTAGAGCAGCGCAGTGGAGGTTAGCGGCTGGGGGATGGTCATTATTCATAGTCCCTGTGGCCGAGGCTGGTGGCCACGGTCACAGCCACCCAGGCTCCACCGTAGCCTGACCTGCCTTCCACTTGGAGCCAGCGACTTTGGAAACTCTCTCCCCGGTTTGCCACCATCCAGAACCCTCAGGCCTGGGACCCAGAGGGTGTTTTCAAGGCCCCGAGGCCTGTCCCAGAGGCTGCCACAAGCAGATAGCGACAGGAAATGGACTGGCAGCAAGTGGCCCTCCAGATAACCCTGACAGCACCCGCAAGCCCCTGCCGGGCCCCTAAGCCCTTATCAGCTGCAGCAAATGTCTCCCCTGAACTGGGAGCCCCACACTGACCTCCTTGACCCCTTGCCAGTGTTTGCAAACTAAGACCCAGCAGGCCGGGAGGCGGGGGGACAGGTCCGGGTCCCTGGTAAGAAAAGCCAACATGGCTGGCAGGACCTCACCCAGCTTGACCCTGGGAACCCTGACCCTTCCTTGACCAGAGGCCAGAGGTCCTGGGCCACAGAAAAAGGGGATTTGTAAATCTCCAAGTCAAAGTCACTGGAAAAGGCACAAGGAGATCCCTTGGGGACCCCCAGGGAAGGTGCAGAGAAGGCGGCCCCGAGTCCACCCCAAGCCCCCTCCCCACATCAGGGCGACCCCATCTCACTTCAAAGCCCAGGGCCGACCACGTAGAGTAGCGAGTGTGTCCTGGGGTCAGATCCAGCTCTGTGCAGGCGCTCGTCTCACCATACTTCCTTCTGCCCCAGTCCACGTGGACATTGCAGTCACTGGTCTCTGTCCCGCCCTCTGTTCCCCTGGCCCAGCCTCCCCCGGCTCAGGTCTGCCCTGCATGCTCCACCCTGAAGGGATGGTCCTAAAACCCCTGCAGAGGTCTCTGATCCTCCCTTATCATCAGCTGAATCAGGTTCAGAATGCTTGCAAGCTCCAGGTTCCCTGAACTCAAACTTCTGGGCTGAGAGCCGAAGGTGGGACTCAGCTGGTAGAAGCTAGAGGACGCCATAGCACGTGCAAAGGGCCTGAGATGGGCTGTGACTGGTGTGTCCAGCCAGCAGGGAGGAGGCTAGTCTGGGTCTCATAGTTCACAGTGATAACATTGGCTTTTCCTTCTAGGACCACCGGGAGCCACAGAGGGCTCTGAGCTGGGAGACGTGGTCTCACTTACGCTGAATTCTGATTAACGTATCATAATCCTAAATTCTGGTTGCACGTAGAGCATGGACTGTAGGAAGACAAGGACAGAAGCAGCAAAGGGGCCATGGGGAGGATCCAGGAAATAGTGTGGTACCTGGGTTGGGGGGCAGTTTAGCTGGCAGAAACTTCTGGACATGGAGACAAGTTAGATATAAAGGTGAGGGAGAGTTGAAAGGACCTGGATTCTCTGGCTCGCCAGAGAGGGAGGTGACGGAAGGAGATGGGGACAGATTGCATGTTATAGGGCCCAGCTCTGCTCTGCGGGGTCAGGGAATGATAAGCCTGGTGCCTGGCATGCACCTGGCCCCAAGTAGGCCAAACCCACGACTTCCAAGCCTTTGCTCCAACTGGCCCCCTCACCAGGGGCACCCATTCCATTTGCCCCTAAATCTCCAGGAATCCCTCCATTCCGTGCAGCCCAGCTGGGGCGTCTCCCCCCACCCCATCCCCACCAGGCTCAGGGGCTCCCCATTGACAACATCAATCAGACCACACTGTGCTAAGTTTGCTGGGCCGTCTGTGCACCACTATCCCTCCGCAGACTGCACGCCACAGCAGGACCATCCCTGGGTCCCCCAGCTTCCAGTTCCATCACTTCTCTAAACCCATCACCTGCCACTTTCTCCTCACTACCCCTTCTCCACAGCCACACTGGCCTCCTTGTTCCAAGGACCTACCCCAGGGCCTCTGCACTTGCTGCCATCTGCCTAGAACTGTCATTCTCCAACATCCTGCGATACCTCCTTCAAAATGCCAATCAGTATCCAAAATGACCCCATATGTATGTTTGTTAGGTCTCCCCCACGAGATTATAAACCCCAATGGGTAGCATCACGTCTGCTTTGTGACTCTCCCTAGTGCTTTACTTCTTTGCCAGGTACATTTCTTAAATTGAATGAATGAGTGAATTAATCTCCTCTCCAGACTTAACACCTCCGTGAGTCCCCCGTGATTTCTCCAGCATGGAGCTGTGGCTCTAGCGGAGTTCTGTGAAATGCCAGGACTACCTCTGGCCTGGGCCCCCTCAGCCGCACGCCGAGACTTCCCTTCCTGCGACCTTGCACCCTGCCTACCAGCACCCATTGGGCAGCTGGCGGACACCTGTGCTGTCCCCTCGGTAGCCATGACTCAGGGTCTTCTAGAAGCTCTGGCCCTTGTCTTGGGGAAGTGCCCCCCATTCCATGGGATACTGGGAGCCACCCATCACACTATGCCTTTCCCCGGCCCCAGCCACCGGTCCCAGGATGGAGCCCGGAGCATGTCACTGATGCTCGGCCCGTCAGCCCTCCCCTGCACTTGAAGCAGACTGTGGGGAAGCAGTGCCCAGGGTGGTGGGGGAGCAACTGCTCCTTCCCTACATCAGCGCGAAGGTGGGTGGCGATGAGGTGGGCAGCGGGTGCCCCATCACTCTGGATGCCCCTAGGCTGGTGCGGGGTAGGAGCTCAAGAAACAGCCAATTACAGCCTTCGGCTCCCCAGCCCTGACATGGGGTATGATCTTGACCTGAGAGCGACCGGCCCACGGTGACTGTGGCAGGGGACGGGGTTGGTGTCGAAGGCCCCCACTTCGAGAGAGAAATCACAGACCCACTTTTTCTTTAAAGAAAACAAGTTTTATTTTTATAATCAGAACATTCTAATAAAAATATTATTATAATATTAGCTACCTTTATTTTCTGGGCCTTGGCTCTGTACCAGGCGTGCCGTGAAGTGCTTGCCCACGTCGGTCAGCCCCCCGAGGCCTCCCACTTCCCTGAGGTAGGTCGGAAGGAATGCCCCCAGTGCCCCCGACTCTGCGGCCCGCCCTCCCCAGATGCCTCTGCCCATCTCCTCTGCCAGGCTGCCTCTTGGCTCACTCCCTCCCCTCCCCCTCTGAGCCAGGGGCCACCACACAGCCCAGGTATCCCACCTGGGAATTCCCCGATGGCCTGTCGGAAGGTCTCGCCTCCACCCTGAACTGCGCCCCCAAGGAAGGTGGGATGTGTCTCGGCTCAATCCCGCCACCCAGGCTGGTATACAGCAGGTAACAGCACGAGGGAGGGTGGATGGGCGAGGCTGTGGGGTTCTACACTCAGAGGCTCTTGCCACTCAAACCCCCCCTTGGCCAGCATCACCTTGGGCCCCACTCCCTCCCACCCTCTGAGGCCAAGGACGGGGACAAGCGCTGAGACGACTTGCTGTCGCCTAGTGAGACCGCCTGGAGACGCCCACCCTCCGAGGGGCTCTGTGCCCTCCAGCTGGCAGACGCCTTATCACACGGAAGTACTGTCACTGTGTCCTCGGGCGGGGCCAGCGACCCAAGTGAGTCTCTCAGAGTCAAAAATAGGTTCTGGATTCTTGGTGGTGGGAGTTCCGGATGAAAAAATAGACGGACATTCTGAAATCATCTTAGTAGCAAAACATCGACGGTAAGAAAAAGAGTTGCAGCTTCGACAAAAAGGACGTCGCCAGCGGCCCTGCTGCGGCCGGGAGACTGGGCAGGGGGCAGGCCGTGCTCTAGAAGATGTGAATTCCGGAGGCAGGTGTCCCCCTGCCCCTGCAGCTCAGGGCCCCATGGATGCACCTGCAGCGCACCCCCGCCCCCACACCCTTGGGCGGCGCTGGACTAAGGCATCTGGAGCGGGACACAGTGTCTGCGCAGCCTGCCGGCAAGCCGGTCCACAGGGGCGGCAGGTCCTGGCGGTGCTGGGGGGCGGGGAGGGGCGCAAGGCACAGGAGGAAGGGCGGCGGCGGGGCGAGATCCGGGGAGATGGGTCCCGGGTGCATCTCCGGACAGCGTTCGGTCAGCCCCGTCCCCCGAGGTCCTCCCTGAAGACACCGCGGGGCCTGGATCGAAGGAGACGCGGCCTCCAGTCCGGCTGGGCTCAGGCAGGCGTCCCACAGGGTCTCCGGAGGCCCCGTGTGGGGCTGCGTCCCGGAGCTGCCGGCCGGCGTGGGGGTGCGGGTCCGCGGCCCCCTCACTGCATCCGGTCGGGCTGCAGCTGTGGCGGCTGGTACTGCACAAAGGCGGCAGCGGGGGCCGCGGCCGACAGTGCCTGAGGCAGGGCGGCCGGGTAGCCGTAGCCCACGAAGCTGGCGGCCGTGGCGGGCGAGGCGGCGTACGGGTACTGGTCGAAGGTGGCCGGTGGGTACTGGGCATAGGCCGGGCTGGCTGGCGTGTACTCGATGTAGGGCGAGGACAGTGACGGGACAGGGGTGGCCGGGATCACCACACTGGGCTGCACGATGGCTTGCGGATAGATGTAGTGGGGGGTCAGCCTGTGGGGCCAAACACACAGGGTCAGGGCGAGGAGGCAGGGCTGGGGAGAGCTGGCTGCAGGGGGAGGCTGTGTTCCCCGACCCTGGTCTATTTCTTGTTTGTGAAACAGGTGCAGCCATAACCTACCTTCTCTGAACACACCAGATGGGCTCCTATTCCAGGGCCTTTGCACTGGCTGTTTCCACTGCCAGGCTGTTCCACTGCCTGCAACACACTTCCCCCGGCTATCCGCAGAGCTCTCCCTGCTCCGCGAGCTCTTCCCAGGCACCCCCAGCCCGACCCTCTGCTCCACACTCCTGCTATCCCCCATAGGGCCAGCTATGATTGGGGGTGGGTGGGCAGACTTAAAAATGATTGACAATTTTCAGACGATGACAGCAGAGCATCAAACCCGGTGTGGCCTTCTGAGCACAGGTCACTGTGTGATTGCCCAGGTCACACCCCAGCCCTCCATTTCCCCACTCATCGTCCCAACATCTGCAATCCGCCAAGTGACATCCTGCACGAACTACAGGCTCTCCCCCACTCTGTCACTGGCAGCCCAGGGCCGGGCCCAGAGCAGCTCAGCGAACATGTGCTGAGCTGCTCTGTGAGCGATGCAGTAAGGACATCGATGAAGATGAAGAGGACAAGGAGAGGCCTGGGAACAAGGCCACGAACCACCCCCAGTGCCCACGCCCTCACACGGTGACAGTCACACATGCCCTCAGGCTGCCCTTCATGGCATCGTCTTGTTTCACAACAGAGAACGGAGCTCAGGGCTTCAGTGACCTGCCCAGGGCCCCACAGCTGAGTGGACCACAGCAGCGTCTATGAGACGGGTGACAAACCAGAGGAGCCCGAGTGTCCCCTGCAGGGGAGAGAGCAGCAGCCAATGTCCCTCCAGAGCATGCCACACGTGGCGGCTGCGAGACCAGGGGCTTCGGCTCAGCCCCCCAAGGACAGAGACCAACGTGGTCTGTCCACGCCACAACAAGCCACGTCGGACACACGCCGGTGTGGATGACCCCTGAGCGCTTGCTGAGGGAAAGCTGTTAGACACACACGGTAGGGTCCCACTGACAGACAAGCTGCATGCGAGCAAAACCCAGGGGGAACATGGTCAAACCACCAGGGGCTTCACAAGGGGGTTGGGATGGCCAGTGAGGGCTGATGACAAAGCTCTGAGTTAGACGGGCCGGCCGCAGCACACGTCTGTGAATGCCTTTCACACCGGAAGAGGAGAGCTGTTGGGGGACCTGTCCTTACCAGCACAGCGCGGCTCCCAGAGGGACAAACCCTGAAGGAGGGTGAGCCACTGGCGAGGGGAGAGAGCCGGCTGGGCCCAGTGCCGGCAGGGCTGGGACGAGGACCAAGTGGGGACGGGCAGGGCACAGGGGATCTGGGAAGGAGTGGGCGTCGGGCCACACCTGTCCAGGCCCGAGGGGTCCCCAGCTCCAACCTCAGCACCCTTACTGCTACCATTTGCCCTCCTAGACGGCAGCGCTGCGGTGGTCACCGCAACAACATGCCCCTGCTGGTTACAGGCTGTCCCCCCCCGCCCCACACCCCAGCTGCTGCAGTGTTCACAAGGAGACCCGGGCAGCTTCCCCCAGGAACCCCACACTCTTGCTCGGGGCCAAAGCGCCCATTGCCCCCGCCCCAGGAGCCTCTGCCGACCGCCTCCGTCCTCCCCCACATAAACGAGAGCCTTGAACAGAGCCAGGCTTAGGCTCAAATCCTGCTCGGCACCCCAAGCAGCACAACGGCTTTCTCCCGTGTCTGCTCAGGACGGGGATACGGCAGTGAGCAGACCGCGCAGCCCCCGGACCCCTAGAGTTTGGATTCCAGGACGGGGACAGACACAAACAATCCAACCCATGAACCGGAGCAGGACTGTGGGGAGTGGTCAGGGAAGGCCTCCCGGAGGAGGGAGCAACTGCACTGAGCCCAGAGGACAAGACAGAGCTGGCCGCGGGGAAGACCTTTCCAGACAGAAACAGAAACAGGAACAGAAAGGAAAAAGAAGTATGTGCACTGGAGGACCAGGACAAGGGCGGCAGGCTGTCCCTTTGAGACCAGATCCCCAAAGCCCTCGGCCCTCCACGCCTCTGTCCCGCCCCAGCTGCATGCGCCCTGCGGTGTCTCCAATGTTCAAGGCCATCCCTACCTGGGCCTGTACCCGCCACTGCCTCCCCTGGAGCCCTCATCCCAGGGGTGTCTTCCTGACCCCGCCTGAGGCCGGCCCCACTCCCTCGCCTCCCCCGCGTCTCAGCTGAGCCATGGGGAGGGTTCTGCCCTGACGCCAAGCTCCGGAGAGTACCGGGCACACCGTGCTGCTCCAACGACCTGTGGGACCAGTGTCCCCGCTGAGAAACACAAGGGGCTCTGCGGTCGGGACGCCTCTCAGGAAAGGAGCCAACTGCAGACACGAGGAAGCGTGTCTTGGTGCAGCGCCCACTGGGACGTCCCTGGCCCCATCAGTGCCCCCATCCGGCTTCAGGAGCCTCAGGAACATTCCTGAACTGGCAGCTACGGAAGCATGAAGCCCAGAACTTCTCCAAACATGGGCAGGGATGCCCCTGCCTGAGACACCCAAATGTCTGATAAGAACGTGGATCCCCTGCAGACGGAGAAGTCAGAAAGGGTCTGGGAGTCTGCACTGGACACGCCCCCCAGGGATTCAGATACACACCCACACGCCAGACACACTGCCTAGACCCAGGCCGTGCTGTCCACAGCAGGACGCAGGGCTTTAAAAATCACAGGTTTGTGGCCATATCCCACCCCTACCCCCGGGTCCAGCCAGCGGAGGCAGTGGCCACACTTAACCAGGTTCTACACTCTCCCCTGCCAGGACCAGCCAGCGCCCATCCTTGCGGGCACAGGTCTCAGGCAGTGTGTATGGACAAGGCCAGGTGTCCTGGCCACCCCGGGGACACACCGACGTGGTGTGAGCCAGTATGTTTTAGGTCGGGGAGGAAGAGAGCCCCCCATTTGTGGACAAGTCAGGAGACGGCCCATCTGCAGCATTCACCTCCTTCCCTGGGGTGCCGCACGCCCCAGCCCTCTGCGACAAGCCTGAGATAACTTACAAAGCAGGAGCGTCACCCCATTCCCAGAGATGGACGGGGAGGCTCAGAGAGGCCCGGATGGCACCGTCACACGGCCAGGGAGCGGCAAAGCGGGGTCGGCCTCCTTGTCCATACACATTGCCTGAGACCTGTGCCCGCAAGGATGGGCGCTGGCTGGAGCCTGTGACCCTGGGCTCACCTTGGGGGCCAGCCCAGGTCTCCAGGAAGCCACCCAGATGGCAGATGGCAGATGGCAGGGCAGCCCCAGTCCACGACCCGGCAGCCCCCGGTGACTCTGTCCCTGCTGAGGAGCTCAGTGTATCCAGAGACTGGACCCTGGACAGGGGTGCACACCCCAGACTCAGATCCAGAGGAAAAGAATGGCGGCAGGTCCTGCTGCACAGTGGGGCCAGGAAAGATGACGGTGCTGGTTGAGTCGAGCAGAAGGGGCCGCAGAGTAACCCCCCACCCCCCTCCCAGGCGGGGAACGGTCCCCACGCAGTATCCCTCCTACACGTTGGCCCCACAGCTCTGCCTCTGGGGACTTAACAGAGGTTGGCCTCAGGGCCCGCTGTGAGACCCGGGACCCTCCACCAGAACACCGGATCTCAGCCCAGGCGACTCTGTCCCTCGAGGGACACCAGGCCATACCCAGAACATTTCTGTGGTCCCTCAGGTGGGTGGAGCCCAAGGAGGCCGCCGGCTCCCCACCAGGCACAGGACAGCCCAGCACAGAGAATGCTCTGGCATCACAGCTCCTCCCACGTGGAAAGAGCCTGCCAGACGAACTACAAAGCCAAGGGCAGATACAAGGCTCTTCGGTGCTTTCATGACCAGATGCCCTCGCCCGGGGCTGGGAAGGAAGCCAGGTGGGCATGGGGCAGAGCTGGGGGTGCACCCACACGTGGGCGAGCGACATACACGCACGCAGGGGACCCCTGGGCTCTCGGGTGAGAGAGAACACCCAGCCAAACCACCTGAGGACAGCCCCACACCCTCCCTGGGCCGGCATGTGGCAGCAGGGGGAGGCCGTGGCCCCAGGGCACTGGGGACAGGGTGGATGTGCCCAGCAGGTTCCTTGCTGCCCCCAATATTCCCCAGAGAGGTCAGGACACCGCCGGCCTCCACATTCCTGATCTGCAGGCCTCTGAAAAGGGCACGGGCCTCACAACACTCCGTGCTGACCGAGGCTGGCCCACCGGGCCTCTCCACTCTCCCTCTGCCACAGCCCTGTTCCACCCCATCCACCCAGCCTCCTCATTCCCACCCCCGGTCCCCGAATTCTCCCTATTCTCCATGCTAGCGCCCCCCCCAACCCCATCTCTCCAGGTTGAGCCTCCATCCACAACACAACGTGGCAGCAGTATCACAGTCCCCACCCCAAGCTGGTGGCCAGAGGATCATCTTAAAAACATCCAAGATACCAGGTCACCCCCAGGACCAGACCTCTCCTGTGACCTCCACACTGCCCAGAGCCAAACTGTTCCCCAACGGCTCCCCCACACAACCAGGCCTCAACTTCCCCCAACTTACCTCCACTCACTGTTCCCACTCCCACCAGACTCAAGGAGCGCCTCTACCACAGGACCTTCGCACCTGCTACTGCCTCTGCTTGCAGACATCTTCCCACAGCTCAAACTTCGCCTCCTCAGAGGCCTTCCCTGACCAACCCCCAAGGCCAATGCCAGCACACCCCACTCACCTCCAGTTTTATTTCCTTCTCACGACCTGAAACCTCCTGGTCATTTACTTTCTGTTCTCCTGTTTCCTCCACAAAAACAAAACCGAAGCCCTATGAGGGAAGGCGCTTGGGCTGACTGCTGGGTCCCAAGCACATAGCACATCATCTGTCAAGGGCTGAGGGCCCCAGGCAGGCCCCAGGACGGCTGGCACCCAGGTGGCAAAGGAGCCTCCCCCAAGGTTGCCAACGGTTTCCTGGGCCAGCA